TCTTCAAACTTTACGTCGCGGCACTGCGTGCTTGCGTGACTCGCCTTGAAATGCGCAGCGAGACTGAGGGGATATTCCTCTTTGTCACCGTCACCGTCGCTTTAATGGAGCTTTCGGATTATTCAGCAATGAAACGCCATGGTTTTATAATGCGAAAAAAACAGAATTTCACCACACCGCTCGAAAGATTTTCTCACCGCAAACTTTTTGGAGAAGAAAACTTCTTCGTCGCAACGATCCGCCATTTGATTACGATTTTTCATACCGTTTTACATTACCGCGAGATCTCTCGTTGCATCCGATATGTTTGTTCTCTCAAACCGCTTGAATATAAACGTGTCGTGCGAAATGCATTAACTCTCCCACGATTGGCTTTCTCTCTCAATAAATTTTTGTACTCATTTGTTTGCATTAGCGGCGATTAAGATCATTTACTTTGATGATGTGTAAAAACAGCTGAAGAAGTCTTTTTTGCAATTTCTTCAATAGCTACTTTCATGCGATAGAAAGCTGATTTATTCATAAGATTAGAAAATAACTCAAATCAAATATAATTTGGAGTGTTTCCAACGTAGTGATATGCAAGGCGTTCGTTTTAATTTGCATTTAGCGTCGACCTTTGCGACATTACGTAATGGGAAAACGCACACTCTAATATCACAATATCATATCACATAAATCACAGCCAATCACGCGCTCCTAGCTTATTTCTTGTAATATTCTTGCGATAATAAAGGAAAAACGTAATTTAAATATGCATATTATCGCACTGATACTACAACATCGATGGGAAATTGCTCGGTTTCAGTTTATTTCGAATTTGTTATGCTCGCAGATCGCGATCGTGTACAAACTCGACAAGCTCGCATTTTCCATGGCATTTATCTTCGTTGCGCATTGTGTTCGCGACTCGATTAGGACTGACTTTTCGATTCTAACACGTCGTCGCGTGCAACGCTCGCTCGCGACGACGTGGCAGGCTCACCTTGAAGACAGGACCGCCCTGCACCCTGCACCCGACGCGACCCTGTCTCTCCGTTCGTTTCTGTCTGCCTCAAGGTCGCAAGCGCGATCGCATTATTCTCTGTCGTTTTTCGTGTTTCTCGGTCCTCAACGTGGTTCATACCGCGTCTAAGCCGCGTTGCGTGTCGTGCACGAGCTTGCAACCCTGAAGCCGAACTGCCACGATTGCCCTCCGAAGTTACTACCCCGTTGTTCTTAAATATATGTATCCCTGTGACAATCAAAAGTGCAAAGTCCGAATGTCGACACGCCACAAAATTTAATAATCTACAATATAAGGTATAGAGTGGATCAGTGAGAGTTAATTCGTAAATATTAAGTAAAACAAATTTGGACAATCTCCAATTTGTTAAATAAAAAATTCTATCTGCGTATAAAAAAGTAGATATCATCAGAATCATTTAAAAAATGTTCTGAAAAGTGACAAAACTGGATCTTGACCAAGAAAATGAACGCGAACAAATACGAATAAAAAACTTGTTTTATTGAATACAAACAGCGTCACGAATTGTTTATTCGTGTTTGTTCGCAATCGTTTACTTGGTCTAGATCCGGTTTAACGAAGTAATGTTGATATAATATTTTAAACAGATTATAGCGGATGTTTCCAACATTCTTTATTAAAACTCGTGGAAACTGCGGCGAGAGCTCGGAGTAAATTTGATTTCTCTGCTAAATTGTACTCGCGGTGACTTATATTATTCATCAAAGGCAAGGAAAAAACTAAGCAAAGTTTCTTTACTGATTTGTAGTGAAACAGAGTATATATGTATCCAGTTTCGATCTATTTCGTTATATTTCTTCGCCTATAGATATATTTTCAGGCACAAATCACATTTGTCTTCGAGCATAAACGGCTTTGAGGAAAGATGTGTCTGTCACCTCAGGTGTCTTTTATTGAAAATTTTCTGGCGAAAACATATTTTTCCGTCTTTTTACTACGGCAGAAGCTGCAATATATACGAAACTTTCAGCGAGCTAAATCCAGCAATGTGGAAAATTTCGTAGTTATCATTGGAAGACAAATGGAAGATGAAATTAAATTCCTCGGTCTTATCAAGCCAATACATATCGTGAGATCATGATATCTTTCCTATATCACGTAATTAATATACGCCAATATACTGCCCTATATTCTTTTCTCTAAATCTAAAAATAGAGATGATAATAAACTATTTCGATCTCATTTTGATAAACGAGTGAGAAAAGAATAACGCGAATTTCTTCCTGTATCTTTTAAGTTTATTTTTTATATGTATTTATATAATAAAAAGAATAATGAAGTTTTAAAATCAGATCTATAAATAATTAATCTATTAATAACTAGTTAAAGATGAACAAGCAACGCCTTGCGTATTAAAAGCAACTCGAGAAAATAGCACCGTTGGGATTTTCAAGATTTTTTATTCGTTGTATTCGTATTTAGAATTGTATGGTACAATCGCCATGGCCGAAATTGCTCCCGGCGAGGAATATATATCGATCGGCCGCTCCCAGGACACGGAAATAAGCTCAGAAAAGCGCGGCATCATGCTTCGAGAATAAAAAGAATCCGCAAAGGTGGATTTATACAGAAATTTCGTTCTCTTAATGAGTGTTCCGACGCTCGTAAATTGGCGACAATGATCGATGCCAATTTTTTAATTGGAACTTCAACGAAGAGTAAGTCGAACAAGCGGAATCGATCACCGATGACAACGAGGACGATCGCTGTTTACCTATTCTTTCATCGCATTGCGTATACGCTGTCGTCGTTTCCGCAACACCCGGTTGTTTACTCGAGCGTGTTCGCGATCGTAGATAGATTTCGCAGCGCTGGCCACCAGATACTGCACCGTGTGTTCGGGTGAACTCGAATCGGGAAATGCCAACGGGTGCAGCGCGATATCAATTCCGGATCTTTCGACACGAGATATTTTTCCAGAGGTACGGGATACGTATGTCTCTTTTTCGAACAAAACTTCCGTAAAACATGGCTTTGAAATGCGATATGACACGGTTTTGGCGATAAATGAAAAATACGGTAAACGGTTTAAATATATAGCAAACGTTTAATTCCTTAAGATAAATATATATAGAAATATATAGATAACATACATTCGCAAAAACACGGTTAATTACGTTCCCTTCTACTAATCACTAGAACAAAATAATTGCACTCCCAGGGTTAGTTATACGCGACGCGTGGAGTTATTTCCTACAAACAATTAATTACTATCAGCTTGCGCAATTAATTAACTCTCGCAAGTGTAAATTTATTCTGTTTAAAATAAATTATCAACATACAATTGAGTATGTTGATAAGTAAGGAGTAACGGAATGAGACACTCTCACCACTACCTGCCAGCTTGATTATCGTTACACGAATGATAACACAGCGCTCAGCAGTTTTTTTTTGTGTACATTCGCAATGTGCACGTAACATAAAGAACACCAAAGCCACAAAATATTTAACGTACTATTAAATATCAACGCGCGTAATATAAATGTGTACATCGAATATTTTATCTTGCATTTTAAGTTAATTTCAATAAAAAACTTGCGCTCATTAGCATTGCCTAAGATAACGAGTAGTTTCGTTCAACTAATTCATTAAAAGATTAAAAAACTAATAACCTCAAGAATTAATTATTGAAACGTGAGAAACAAAATTCAGACTATGTCCTAAGACAAACTTCCTCAATTGAATCGTGATTGCAAATATGATGTAACAAATATCAAATTGATTTTTAAGATCTACCTAAACCGTAACATGTCTTACATGTCTTAAGATTGATTTCAGCTGAGTTCTTCAGCAGAAACGCGGCTATAAATACGGACATAAAAAGCACATCGAACGGGAGAGATTCGATGCAGTAGACCGACGGCTCGATGGTTGTTTGTCGATCTTCCCGTCAATCTGACATTTCTCTATTATACATGGCTGTTTACTCAAGAGCGTTCGACAAAGTCCAGTTATAATCAAAAGCTGATCTTGTCCCGAAAATGTAATTTGGATAATACGAGTACCGCCAACAACACTCGAGTTGTGCTCTTTCTCTTTCCGAACAGTTAAAATAAATTTTGAAGCACTGTTTAAAGCGTCCGACTAAGAGAGAAGAAAAGAAGGTATGAGAAGCCTGGAGTATTCTGCGCATGAGGTAATTCGATAATCGAATTCGTTTAAGGACGCGAACGCTGGGAATACAAAGGACCAAAATACGAAGGAAGACTTAGACAGACTAGCGCTTGACGCCTCAATCTCGTTATAGTTCCAAACCGTGACTAAAGTTTTAAAATAATTGGCATCGAGTATGTAGGTTAGTCGTTGTTCGCAATGTTAATGTCTTTCCAGGTACTTTGCGCGGTAATCGATTGGGTAACGAGCGACCGAAAAGGCCATCCGTTGGACCGCTGATTGCTCGAATCACCGCATCGTCGTTGCGATATCACTAACGTATCGCGATACAGCGCAATATCGTTAGCAAGGCGAGAGAGCGAGAGCTTCGCTTCGTTACTCTGATTGCCGTGTAGTGCTGTTTAATCAGATTCTGTATTCCCAGATGGTATACGTTCTGTAACACGGCTAGTTATTCCCTACATGCTGACAGACGGGAGTAATGTTACTTGAGACATTCTAACAGGGTAATCACGCATCTTAATTATAGCTTTTTCACTCATTACGGTAAATATGATTAATCGCTGAGATATAAGCGATTTTATCTAAAAAAAAATCCCCATTTATTTCTAACTATTAATTAGCTAGATATAAAAGAAATTTTTGCGAAGCAAATTCAAATTGTTTAAAAAATATCGTTAACGTACAATAAATAAGAGAAATTTTATTTTACTGGGATTGATTAAAAAATTGATATCTTGTAAATACTAGACAGTTTGAGAGGTAATTCTATCGTATTATAAAAATTAAAACGCGTTAAAGTTAAAGGCAACAAAATCCGCGCTTTAAAACGTTCTTAGTATTGACAAAAGTGACTCACCAGTTCTCAGAAGCGTCCTCGTCGAGGATGGTCCCGTCAGCAAGTCGGTGAGGCAAATTAGACGTCGTGCGCGGTCGATTCCGGACCCTCGGCGGACCAACGACACCGGTTCTCGACAGCCCAGCACGGAAGGACGCCCTTGCCCTGTCGACTGCTCGAGTCAACGTCATTGAGTCTCATTAGTTATACTGTTAGTAGTTGGTGTTAGAGCGCGACGGCGTGTAAAGAGCGCAGCGCTTTTGCATAAATTACCGCCGCAAGACCCGGCAATTACGTATCTACGACGGTCGATACGCGATGGCCAGCTTTTTTATTATCTACATTCTCGACGCTTGGCTAATGTACGCAAAACCATGTAGGATAAGCATGCTGGACGTGTGGAATGCAAGTGTTGCATAATACCTGGCACGACAGGTCTCACAAAATAACATGCGCATATGCTTAAGCTTAATTAAACAATGTAAGCTCGCGTCAAACCCGCTAAACAATTCACGATAAAAGATATGTATTATTTGATACTGATCCATTATAATATTATTATTTTGTTTGTTTTTCAACTCAATGCACGAGGTTTTCGTTTGTGTTGATTCCTCTACTTCTATTTCTTTCTTTGAAGAAATAATATAATTTTAAATTATATGGACACTTTATAATTTTTTCATAATAACGATTATGTAATTTACATATTTAATATTGAACGATAATTGTCGTTTAATATCTCCTGAAATATTAATGACACGCGCGTCGTCAAAAGTTAACGATGGATTTAACTTGGTTGACTTCGCATCGTCGCGCTCGCCCCATCGAACTTGTCACTTGTCAAGGACTGGAAAATCCATTTGCCACACCGCTCGGCAAGGATACTTTACAAAGATAAGTCAGTCAACGTCGTACTTTTAATTTGCCGTCCGACATCGCGGTTCGCGATGTCTGGCACACAGATGACAGAATGTGCAATCCCCATTTCTGCTCTGCGCTGTTTGATTTCGAGCCAGCCGTGGCCGTTGAACTTTCGTTAAAATATTATGTCTGTCTTGGAACCTAACGTTCACTTGGAACCGAACGCCGCCAAAATTCGTCAGTCTCCAACCGAAAAATGACGCGTACATATCGATCGCGTTAAGTTTTACGAAGAATTGCTCGAAACAAGAAACGTGAATCATTTTTTATGTGTCTCTTCGTGTAGATTTAAAGTTCTTTAAAAATCTAACCCGAGGCAATAATTTTCCACGAGTATCGTTAATATTCATCATTTATTAATCGGGAAATGACGTGTCTGGCGCACGTTCTTTGCATCAAAGCGCGCTGAAAAAAACGCGATTATCGGCGAAAATGCGCGCGTTATTTGCTCGTTACATTTAATTTCAATATGCAAATGCGCGCGATTAAAGCACCACGGTAAAACGGGACAAAGAAACTCTAGTGTAATCATATATTCGTATTCGGATGCAGGCCGAGTGACAAATATACAGCTGCGTTCGCTCATCGTCAGTGCAGTCGAAGAAAAATGAGTGATAAAGAGTGATAAAGAGAAGCTTGGGGGAAAGAACATCGACGATCAGATACGACGGCCACAATCTTCTCGAGTGTGCACTATATGCATTTATCGATTGTTATAAAACGGGAAGAACTCCGTTCTCCGCGAATGTCCGCCGGAATAATGTGTCATTAGGATGCGGATTGATTGGACCGTTTCCGAGTTGTTTGCCTACGTGATATCGACTTAAGCCAATATCACGCTGACTCGATAATAAGAAGAAAATGGATGAAAACAAATATGGAATCACAAATTGAAAAAATGATAAATCAAAGTAAATTACCTAAAATAAAGATAAAATAAAGACTTCAAAAAGACTCAAAAATAGAGATAATTGCAGGCGAACAATTAATAACTTTATGTAAGATTAAGGTTTAAAAGCTTATCTGAATTATGCAGACATTATAGAGTTCCGAGATATAATTATACTTGGTAATTATTTAATGATTATATATTAATTGCAATAATCGTGCACTAGACGACCGATTTGTTTAGATGATGGATTACTCCATCAAATATCCGTTATTGATTGCATTTTGATGAGGCTAAGGCTGAATAGCCTAAGCTCCTTATAGAGAGACAATCTCAAACTTTGTATGAACTATTGATTGCGGATTATATCGGCTTTTCAGAATTCCTATACGCATTCAGTTTTATTTATATCTTGAGTAAGTTGAAGTAGTAGCAAATATTTGTATGTGTATAGCAATGGCACGTTCCTTGTATCTTATATTTATAATTAATTATATTTAGAGCAGCTACTCTCTATTTATCAAATATATTATAAATCAAAACGTATCAAAAAATTTTGCCATAATAAAATTTCTCGAATTTCTTTAAAATTATATTTCTCTCCATTCGTAATTATCTCCATGAATCATATGTGCATTATCACAATTTGTTCGATGAGCAAACTTTTTTTTAATCGAAAAAAAAAACGCGTGATAATGTCTAAAATAAGAGTGTGAATAAAGAAGGAAATGTAATCGCGTTCATTGATACTTTCATGCGTGACACTCGTGAAAAAGGCATTTCCTCGAGCACGCTCTTAACGCTACGCGACTTTCCGCTACGATCGATTTCTGTTACAAGTCTCTAACCATCAGCTGAGCTGCTTAGGGGGCGGATTATCAACCAGGAGGTAAGATATATACCTATAGCTATTCGAGGGCATAACATTTATTATCGGGTCAGGGTTAACCGTTAGGCGCGCCACACACGTCCAGCGCTCTGCAGCGTCACTCTAAAAATAGTTTCGCGAGCACTCCAGATATAAAACGCGACCACGTGTCCCGTCCCTCGTACGCATATATGCATATGCGTATAATATGCGTACGCGTAAAAGCATATATGCGTATGTTCTCTAAATTCGTTCGGAAAAACGGCAAGCAGCTTATGCGAAACTTAGGCTGCGCCAGCGGATTGCATTAATAAATAAGTCGACATAAAAAAGTAGAAATTTCATCATGTAAAGATTTCAGCAGATATTGTGCAGAACAGCAGCATTAAAAGCGCAAACTTTTTTTGTTTGTACTTTACGCTGCATTTGCAGTGACAAAGGCAAAGTCTAATTACAAAGACATGTCGCGTTCACATAAAAATATTGTATATACGTTAACACATGGGAGTAAAGATAATCCACATGTTCTGACAGGAGACAAAAAAAATAAAAGGAAAGAAACATACATGTATATCATGCGCAGGATTGACAATAACGGCATATACGCGATGCAATTACGCACACGAAAGAACTCGCGTCCGAAATTCTGCAGGATTGTAACGCGGCTCATTATGCGGATACACCTGACCTGAATCTATGATCGTAATAATGATCGTCACAATGAGGAGTAGCCTACGTGTGCCACACCACGTCCCACTTGTGAACGAGGCGGCCCCGAATGTCAGCGCGACGATGTCTTATAACGGACGGTGCAGCAGGAAATAATGATAGCCGCGTTTAAAAGCCGCAAGAAGTTATATGTGTGGGAAGCACGAAATGTCTTGGCAGGATATCGTGTGTAAACGTTAGGCCGGAGAGATACCGTTTGAGCTGCACAATAAGTACAATCGGGATTTTTGGAATCGATCTAATCGAGACACAAGCCACATGCTGTAACGGCAGCTGATTTAAAAACATTTTTCCGAGACAGTTTCGTTCAACTTTTAAAATTTTCCCCAAAATCTAACATGTGCATTCTTTCTTTCTTTGGTTATTCTTGAGTATATCTCTACCATATATTATTTATTAACAGCGATTGAGTGCAGCGGAACTTTCGTGAAATTTTGAACGTGCTATCGAATTTCGAAGTCCACTCGCGCGGATTTTACGGTAAACTCTCGTGCGAAAATCTGAGTACGCGCGTGCACCGAGACGAGTCGAAGTAGAACGAATAAAATTGGAACATACAGCGTGTCGCGAGTCTGTTGTTGGCCTGAGTCGGCGGCGGGATCGCGGGCTGCGGTGGCGGCTGTGAGCTCAGATCCTCGAAGTTTATGATTTGCAGGCAAATGTCGTCCACCTCGCTCCTTATTAGCGCTATCACCTCGCTGCAGAGGAACTTGGTTCCTAAAACAGGAAATTAGCAAGTCAGATATCCGTATCCGACGCGCGTCCTTCGAGTTCTCATCATAAATGTATATATACGAGCGATCCGTCGTACAAAGCTTAATTTACTTGTAAAATAACCCGCGAATACAAGGTTTTCAGCTAATTTAAAGACCTTTAATACTCACAAACCTTGAAAATCTTAAAAATATGAGGATCGACATGTTCAAGCGATAGTATTTTAAATAAATAAATTTTTAATATACATATTCGCCTAACATAAACTGACGTATAAGCATCTTACTTAGATTAGACTTATTTCTTAGATCTTTCAATTAGATTCATTTAAATTTTAAGTATTGAAGTGCTATACACGCAAGTTCCATCTGCACTCGATAACTCAAGCTCCCGACGGCGAAATCACGTTGATAGGCACTTTGATGCGTGTCAAGGACTATCACGATGCAGCCGTAAAATTTGGAAATATTGAGCAGTGAATCAGAAGTAGAGACCGCCGGGGAAATTCATGCCGGAACACGTACAAAGCGCCGCAACCTATTCGCGCGGCGTGCGACTCTGTGCGACGCAATAAATATTCCAGATTGACGTTTACTGGATGTCTCTTAGACACCGACGTGCAAACCGCGCATCGCCGACAATATTTCATTTACGAATAGGCTCGCGAGGAGACAAAAGAGCCGATAGTAAAATTTCGAAACTTGCCATAAAAGTCTCTGGATCGCGCCCAAATAGTTGTCCCGCCCTAGCAACGCTAATATCCTCGTAAAGCCTAGATTGTTGCTACAGTGACATAAAAGTGTTAAGTTGCCCGATATAAGCCTGCTATAACAACTTCGTTGCATCAGATCGCGCCAATGTGCAGGATGTAACGCGGAGTTTATCGCGGCCTGCTTATGTTGCAAATACTGCTCGCGGCAGTCTCGTAAAAAAAAGGGGGAAAAAAATGGTATATTTTATCTTTGACTTTAGCCACATGAGGAATATAAACACGCGATACAGACTTCCTACAAGCGTCAACTCGGTTTCCTGCTGTGTAATTAAATCAAAAAATTATCACGAAGGTTGGAATTTTTCCATTTTCCGTCAGCGTTTCCAGCACGAGGCAGGCTCGCTCACCTTGGCTAATTGTAAAAGTCAACGTGGCCGTGACAATCGTTAAGAATCAAACAGATAAGATATCAGAAAAATGTAAGCTTTTTTTAGGAGTTCAGTTTCAGTTAAAGAAGTCGGCAGCCTAGTGCGGTAGAAAAATAATTTCACACATAAAACGCTAACGAGATTTATTCAAAGTAAGTAGTTCGCAAACTAATTAACGACAACGTGTCGGGGCACCTTGAACGAGATTCGGAGGGCATCGACGAAAGAAAAGTATGTCCCGTGCGAAAATGTGCTCAGCCAGAAACCGAGCCAAGATTCCCACCTGGACATTCCATAATGAACATCATTCCACGTGCAGCATCAACATCTCTGATAAGATCCACATGTCCTATCAGATTACACAAGACGTCGGTTTGACTTTGTGGTACCACAATAGAACGCATATTTTTCGCCGTGATCAAACGATCGTTTCTCGATCGATGTCACGGCCAAGGCTGATGCGCTAACATATTTTTACTCTTTGCATACCATTATATTTTGCCTAAGTAACGTGAAAAGAATTAAAATTACTTTCGCAGAATGACGAAAGAATCATGTAATTAATAAAACACAATTATTTTCCGCAAGAACACACACATCTTTACTCCCATACTTCTAATAATCCAATCCGGATATCTCTAATTAAATTAGCTAAGACATTCCCCGTTTTCTCGCAAGCCTCAGTCGTGCCGTTAATTTCGCAGTTCGCGCCTTACTTTATTAACGCTTAAAACAGCCAATACGTGTGGTTTCTTCAGCAACGTCACGATAACCTGTTCTATCGATCTGCTGGCGTTTCTTTTTTGCTCTCGGTTTCTCTTTGTCTCTGTCTAGGTAGAATCACGCACGTCACCATTGGTCACGCATAGTTGGTTTTTCAAGTCCGGTTGAAATGCAAGCGAATCGTTTCCGAATGCGCGCGACTCGTGAATTCCAAGCACGAAGCAAGAAGAAGCACGTGCTACTCCCATATATCTCTTCCGGGGATAATGATTTTATATCCTTAGAAAGGAAAATGCAATCACATGAAGTTTACAAATAAGTTATAAAACTAGATTAAGCCATTTCTTTCTCTTTATGTCATTCTCTCCGTAATATAATGTTAAAATAAAAATTTGTATTTTCTTTGTTCTATTGTTATTTGTCCTTGCTTTCTAATGGTATTTGTAGATTCTGTTTCATTAAAAAGAAGTGATATCAACAAAGACCTTGCGCATTCGATTAGAAGACACAAAGCCAATTAACAGAGGATTACACCTGCCGTTTGTTGTATTGTTATTTCATGTTTGTTAACATAGAAATAACGAAGGCGTACCGTTTCGACAACGTTTCAATGTACTGTGTTTTTATTTCGTCCACGAACAATACTAAAAAAAGCGGCTTTATCTTTATGTGAACGACCGGGGGCTCTGAATAATTCAATTTTCGTGGAAAAAAAAGGAAAGTTATCGGATTTACATCGTTATGTCGCTAAGGGGGCGTTTCTTAACGCCATTTTGCTTTAAGTTTAGTTTTGGATATTGTTACTCGAAAGTTTTTGTCGCTGAAGATCACTCCTGCGCGGATTACGTTTTTCTAGTTAGAAGAAAATGCGGGAGTAGAATAAGAGTTGATGTGCTGGAAAGTGTGAAGTTTTTCAGCTGAATGATACCACCGAAAAGGTTAAATGATATCACTGGGAACAGCGTTTCCCACTTCAGCGCGTCTGATAAGGCCAAAAACGGATGTTCTATCTCCGTGTGGTTCCGGCCCGAATGGTCACTACGGCGAGCATCAAAGATCCAAAAGTGCAAAAAGAGAAAAAAGAACAAAAGAAACGCTATAAGCACACCGGAGATACTGTAGCAGTTCATTTTATAGGGACGGTATTTTGAAAACACGCGCGCCCATAAAACCGGCAGTAAAAGCGGCCGTTTTATTGCGGGCACACGTCCCCTATGTGGAGTAAATTTTGGTAAAACAGAGCGCGTGAATTTTTCTATACAATTACTTCTAGCTGCTAATTCAGACACAGAAAAATTTCATGCTCCCAGAGAACTCATTAAAGTTTCTCTGAGACTATGAATAATTCTCACGACGTAAAAAAAAATGCTAAGAGAAAATTTGTTACTAATTTCGATATCTTTATATAAAAATTATAAATATAATAATAAATAAATTTGCAGAGGTATATGATAAATTTTAAATATCTTCGAAGATGTAATTACGTTTATGAAAGTTTAAATATATAAGATTACGTATTATAACACTCTAATAATAAGACACACTCTAAAGATGTAACTGTGTATCCGCTTAAACATGAAATATGCATTATCGGTCACTTTCGTAAATTCGACAGGATTAATATATGGCACGACATAATTCTCGGAGCGATCATAAAAGCCATCCGTAGCAAATTGCCATTGACGGATTAATGTGTGTTCCGGCACGACGTAACGTGTCGATACGTGAGCGGAAATTACGGACGGCTGTATAATAATTGTTTGCAAAATAGCGAGCATATATATCACAAAGTTCAATTACGCATCGATCCCCCTCATTTATGAAAACAGCTCTCCCAGCTTTCCTTCTCGTGTTAATAAAACATTCAATACAAACAGTGATTTAAATATTGAGAAACAGAGAATGCGTTTTTACAGTTTATAAAATTTTCATCGATCTGATTGGAACGATTTTATTATATATTGTCGGAACTTACAAAGATCTCAACTTATATAGAGATACTGCATAAAGTTTTAGCGGAAATCTAAAGTTTTATCTCGAATCGATATAAATGTGCGAGAAGTGCGAGAGAAGCAGTCGGTGGAAGGACAACGAAAATCGAGAGAACAAAGACGCGGACGTAGCGTGGATTTTGAGGGAATTTTCGTCGAGATACGCGAGGCAACCTACGGAGAGAATGAAGAAAGGTAGTTTCTCGTTGTCGGATAAGAGTCCGGGGGTGCATTTCTGAGACCGCGTGCGTCGCAGTCGTGGGATGATAAACATCGAAGAACACTCGCTTTGTTCCGTTCGAGTAATCGCGTCTCGTTAAGCCCTTGTGGTACAACTTTCAGGCCGACTAAAAGAAGAATCCGCCGTGGAACCGCCGACGACAGTTGAGCAAGAGAATTTAGAGAATACGGAGAGGAAGGCGCAAGGAGGGATGCGCCATCGAAGGTGAACGCACTCACGACCTATTCAGTATCGTCGGCGAAAAAGGGGATGGGAGTGATATCGAATGGCGAAGAGATAAAGGGGATCCCGTCTTCAACTAGTTCCTCGAAAATCCGTTAATCCACCCGATAAAACATCGTCGTCTATCGATCGGCAAGAAGGATCGACGGTTGGCTGCGAAATAATTTTCAAACTTTCGTTCATCGAACCTGTTGGGTAAAGGAAGAATTACGTGTTCAATCTCACAAAGGTGTCTCCGATCGAAATTACGGGGAAACCACGGGGAACCACAGATGCGACCTTCTATTCAAGCAGAAAAGGACACGAAGAAAGGATTTTATTAACAGACACAAAATTTTACAAAGCCACACCGCTGTTGAGGGATTATTTCGAGCCGTTTTCTCTTCTTCGCGGCAAGGAAATTGCGGATTGATTTATGCGCGTCGCGCGTTCGTGTTTCACGCTGTTTGAAATAGCCGGCCGGTGGTAGCGAAACGTTCGAGCGGAGTTCGCGCGGCGCATTATCTCAAAGAAGCGGACAAATTTCTTGCGTAGCGTCGAGCTGTCGCGATACGCATCGATTTATTTCCGTGAACGCCGACTAATTCTCTAGGGCGTGCTGTAAATTACCAGCATGCCCGCGCCGCTGATAATTTACAGCACGCCCTAGAGAAGCACACGGCGACTAATATTAGAGTGACGGTACG